GACTTTGTAATTTTTATTTTTACTTTTTTGGCTTTGCTGGGAATGTAACCCAGGGTCTTGCACATGCTACACAGGTGTTCTACCACTGAACCACATACCTAGCCTTTTGATTATAAGTTTAAAAACTTGGGGTTAGCTGGGCATGGTGTCCTCTGACTATAATCCCAGCTTCTGAGGGGCAGAGGCAGGAAGATCGTGTTTAAGCCCAGTCTTGGCAATTTAGTGAGACCTTGTCTCAAAATAAAAAAAAATTATAGGATCTGGGGATATAATGCAATGGTAAAGCACCCTTTGGTTTATGCATTCATTTAAAGTTGAGATAAGAGAATTTTCCTCTATATTTCAGTTATAAACTGTCCTTTCAAAAAACTTCACTATGCCATTTGCTGATTATTGGGACATTTTTGAAAGAGAGGCTGCTGTGATGTTGGGTGGCCTTCGTTGAGAACTGTAGCTTGTTCAGGGCAGGACCTTCAAGGAGCACCTGGAGTTTACCACCCTCACTTCACCAGAGGTGGCATCATGGTCTACATGTCTGGGCTCCTTGTCCTTTGTTCTTTCTGCTTCATCATTATGTTGGCATGAAAGACCAATGAACAGCTACTCAAAATATCTATTGACTTAAATGTTTAGTCCTTGATCATTTAAGTTTTGATTAATCAATGACTCATTTGATCTTCATGTAAAATCAGGTTTGCTTTTCTTCCAAGATAGAGTATTTCATGGAGCTCACAAAAAAGGGATTTGGCACAGCTCATGGTGGTTTCTTTCTGTGGCTAAACACCAAATCTCTTTTCAGCAGTTTTATTCCTTTGCATATACATGTTTGGAAACAGCCTGGGTAGCAGATTCCCTTAAACCTTATAAAGCAAATATGTATATGCTAATATGCAGACTTATTTTAGGTCCTCATGGCCTCCTTTGCAGGACTAATCAGAGATCTGTTAGCTCACCTGCTACCGTATTCTCCCATTTGAAATTTGGTACATATGACTCCTTTTGAGGTCATTGATACTTTTGTGTGTGTGTGTGTGGAGGGGCAATATTACAAAAGGAAGGCACTGACTTCTGAGCTTTTTAGAAAGTTGATACTTTAATAACTTCTAATTTTTGAGAGTAGGTTTTCTGAATTATGAATTTTACCCTCAGAAAATAAGAAAATTAAATGCTGTTTCTTCATAAAGCTTCATCCACAGTTGTATTGAATATTATTTCTATAATTAGACAAACTCATTTTTTTTGGTCCTTATTTTTCCCAATTGTGTTGGTTTTAATGTATACTCCTCCCGCTGCATCATTTAGTGTTTGGCCTCTGACCTTTTAATAGGTAATAAATAAATAAAAGCAGGAGTATATGGCCACCAAGGAAAATCTACATTTTGCTTTTGCTAGACTGTTACATATACTATGTATGGTGATTTTTGAATAGAATTATATCTTGGGAAAGGGAAAGGAGTTATCTTATTCGTTTTGGAAAGAAAGTAAAAATTATAAGTAAAATAAAAATAAAGTCAATTGCACCTTGAAAAATCCCTCAAATCACCCATAAAACATCTTATACCTAGTGATTGTGTGTAGCTTTATGGGAAATTCTTATGCACACTGCAGATTGTGATGTGCTGAACCAGGTTCAAGGAAGACAAGGGCTTTTGGCAGAAATCTAGGTCGTCAGACAGACCACTTTGCTTTTAGGAGAGACTCCAGTGTGGAATGGGAAAGGGAGAGTCCCAGTGAGACCCTGCTTGTCTGGGGGCTTCACACCATCAGGTTTGTAACAAAAAGACTCCATGTCTTAATACTTATTAAAAGTTTTTTTTTTTTTTTTTTGGTGTTGGGGGGCAGGGGACTAAATGAGATCATGTACATGGCAGCCTCTATCTAATGCAGAGCACCCTGCATGGACAAAGTTAGATGCTCAGTGAATCTTCGATTGAATAGATTCTGATCTGGCTCAATGAATTACATATCACACTGGGCTTGAAAAGGTTTTCAGAAAAACCTGGCCACCTGTTTACTGCCTTTCCAGGTTGGTGTTCCTGCTAGTAATCTCTTGGAGCACCTTCCCTTTCTCAAATCCTTATTATTGGCCTTTAGATAAATTTTCATGAATTAAAACATGAATATTCAAGTTACCACAAGATGGCGTTAGATCCTTTCTAGTAATGCCAGGTAGGAGGAGCCTCAGTTCAATATTTCTTTAATTAAAAAAAAAAAAAGTTAAAATATGTGCCATTCATGTCATGGTGTAATGGTATTTAGCTATTGCACATAAACCCCTCATTTCTTTTACCAATCTTGTATAGAAATTTGAGGCTCATGCCTGTAAAATGCCAAAAGTAGTTGTGTAGGAAAATGACTTAAATCTTGCAAATGATTATTTCCTACAGAGAACAGTTCGTGGTGGCTATGTTCAGCTAATAAGATTTCCATTTTACTTTTGTTATTTACAAACATTGTCTAATGAATGATCCTTAAGTATTTTACAATGCACTGTTCCATGGGTTTTCATTTGCTTAGTATCCTTCAGTCTGCTTTATTTTCTTCTGAGCAGAACTGACCTATTTATTTATTATTTGTTTTCCCAATTAACCTATAAATCCTGTAAGAGGCTACAGTTTTGTAGCCACATGCTATATCCTGAGTGCCTGGAACAGTGTCTGGCATGGTATATTCTCAAAAAAAAAAAAAAAACTTGAATGAAGAAAAACTAGAGAGTTTTCACTATTATTGAAACCAATACCTGTGTATTAGTAAGCAGATACTAAGATTATGTAAAATCATGAGGTATTTGAGTTTACAGTCTTTAGGAATTTTATTGACAACTCAGTGAAGTATCAGAACTTGAAAACTTTTATTACTACACTTCCATGGTGACTATATTTCTAATTTCTTCTGTGATTTAATTCAGTGTCAACAACATGTAGCATATTTATAATATGATATTCAATGAGGATTTATTTGTGGGTATACAGTGAGCAAACCAGAATGTAGTACAGGAAACAATCTTAGTTACTTTAGTGTGCAAGTTACAATTCTCACACATGCACACATGCTTCCCAGGCCTTGGGAGTCTCGGATTCTCCCCTGCTTCAAGGTTCTCGTGTAAATGAAGGACTCTTGTGCTGAGAAGTTGAATATCTAAACCAACTCTTTTGGACATGGGTCTGTAAAGGGCTAAACTTCAGAAAACCGGTTGTTTTAATTTTGAGCACTTCCTTTCCAGGGATAAAATGAATGTTTTTAAAGCAGTTTATAAAAACCATGTTTTTTGGTCTGGGAATGTAGCTCATTGGTAAAGCATATGGAAGGCCTTGGGTTCGACTCCCAGTACTACAGAACAAGCGAACGAACCAACAAACTATGTTTTTCATCAGTTAACCAAGATTGCCATTGCCAGAATGGAGATGGGAGTGACATTGCAATGTGGAAGGTCTGGTGGTGTTGAGACAGCTGAAGAGTGAGAAGCTACCTGCTTCCCAGACTAGTTCCCGAGGTCACTCACTCACTCAGCAAATAGTTATTGGGAGCTTCCCATGTGTGCTGGTCAGTGGAGAAACGGGAATAACTGAAACAGATGACATCGCTGCCTCATAGAACCAATGTTCTAATCTAGTGTCTTTCTGCGGCCACAGATATCTTTAAGCATGTGTGAAAGTGACAAATCCTTCTTCCTGAAAATCAGCTGGTCAGACAGACTCTTATAAACAGAGAGACAGGTGTGCAGGTGCAGGTACACACACACAGACACACACACACCGGTGCTTGCAGCTCTGCTTGGAAAGACCCACATGCACAATTTCCTATTCCATTTTTCAGGATTTGGGGGACTTAAAGCTTAAGTTCTTCAAGTGAATGGCCCCTCTGCTCTCACCCCTTACTTTACCTCTTGCTCAGCATTTTCTGTTGCCCTGAATAAGACTTTCTGCTAATTTCCTTTTCAGATTTGATCACATGAGAGGCAGGAAACCTGGGGAGGCCTGGGCCCAGGGGCTCAGGGCCACCTGATTTATGACTTTGAGGGAGTCACTTCTGATCCCTCCACCTCTCTTTCCACATCTGAGTAATGGAAAAGGTTGGGTTAAAGTAACTGGCGAGGTAATTTCATGGTAGGGTAGGAGGACTGGCGACAGGCAGAGAGTATCTGGGGTAAATTACATTATCTCAATATATTACTCATGAATTCTTTTGAGCAAATAATTTAATTTACAAACCAATCCTTATTTCTCACATATGAAATGGAAAAAAAATAACACTCACTTCATGGAATGTTTTGGAGAATTAAATGAGATAAGGTATGTAAATTGCCAAGGACAAAAATGGTAGCTATTATCAACCTTATTACATCCAAATTGTCTTTCAAGATAATTCAATCAGCAAATTAAATATTTATAAAGCACCTACTATTTCCCTGGCATGGTATATGTCTATGATCATTATCCTGGGATGCTAATCCAGCTACCAGGCAATGGTTATAGGACAATAGTGAAGGAATTCTTTCCGTATTAAACAGGCCTGGCTTAATTTGCTCACTCCAGCAGGGGCCAGCTGGGTGACTTTAACCAATCCAATCTTTATTCAGTATCCATTTCTGAAAAATGGGATAACGACTTATAACCCATTCCTAAGAGAACAGTTGTTGGATTTACATGGGATCATGCAATTAAAGCATTTAGACAGTGCCTGGCACAAAGAACTCTCTTGATTTACATTAGTCTGGCTCAGTATTGATAGTATTATTATTTGTTAATTAGTCTAACCTCACCCCCCTACACATACCCAGGGCTATGTTAGAACTAAATCTTCCCTGGATTTCATACAAGTCCAGGCTTCTCACTTATCCAGGCCCAATAATGAAATTAAGATCCTTGATTTAAAACTGGCCTTTACTGAGAGGTTGCTTGGCAAATATTTATGGATCCTGCAAATAGCTGTGGTTTCTATGACCTAATTCACTTTGGTTAAAGATGAATTGTAATTCTTCTTTATGTTTTTTCATTTAGTATCCAAACCCCATGGATAAAAATGTCATCTCTGTAAAAATCGTGGAGGAAAAAATAGGTAAGTCCTCTGAGTGTACCCACTCATCAGTGATGATTGTGAGGTGACGCCAACTTTTGTAAAGATGTATGTGTGCATATGTGTGCATCCTGTTTTGTCTTAAGCAATTCTCTTGTCACTTTCAATGGTAAGACTGAACTGCAAGCTGGCTGCGGTGGCACATGCCTGTAATAACAGTGGCTTGGAAGGCTGAGGCAAGAGGATCATGAGTTCAAAGCCAACCTCAGCAACTGAGCAAGGAGCTAACGACTCAGCAAGATTCTATCCCTAAATAAAATACAAAAAAAAAAAGGGCTGGGGATGTGGCTCAGTGGTTAAGTGCCCTCGAGTTCAATCACTGGTTCAAAAACAAAACAAAAGTGAGTTACATCATTGTAATAGGTAACATTTTGGGTTACTTAAAATGTTCTAAGCACTCTTACTTTGATTATTTAATGAATGAAGACATTGATATATAGAGAGGTTAAATAATTTACCCTAAATCTAATAGCTATATCTTTATCCTATGATTATGTATTATTTTGTAGATGGCAAAACAGGTGTGATTAACAGCATATTATGAGATGTGAGCAGAGAATGGTTAGATTATGGACTCATAAATGTACTTGACAGTGTGTTTCAGTGTTGGTTAGACCGATGATGGCTCATGATGCCTGTTTTGGGGATTTCTATTGAAATATATTCACACCAATTTATTTACCTATGAGTGCTTCCTTTCTGTAATGGCAGAGCTGAGTTATTTTCAGCAGAGACCTTAATGCCAAATTATTTATGGCTCTTTTCAGAAAATTTCTGACCCCTGCACTAGAGCTTAGGCATCTCTCCTGTTCTTTGTCATTGCCATCCTCAGTGGAAAGGTTGTCCCTGCTGTTTGAACTCGAGGAATGGACAGCATAGGAAGCTATGACAATATACGTCATCAATGCACAAATGTTTGGAGATACCCAGACTGCTGTCTAACATGCCCTGCAGCCTTCTTAGAAATCATGAGATGCTCCTGCTCTGAGGCCCCCTCTGTGCTTGATAGATGTAAAACTATCTTTTGTTTGTAAGGGTATTTTCTGTACTTCTATAGTTAGATAAATATATTTAAAAATTGTTTTCTCAATGTAGGATTAAGTTTTTATCTGGCATCAGACACACCTGACTCCCAGTCCTGATTTGTTACTACCTCCATAGCTTAACTTTTGGCAGGTTCAGTTTGTTCATCTGAGCTCCCAAGTAGTAAAATAATCTGGTTTTTAGGTTGTTGTGAAGATCAACACTGAGAAAACAACATGCACATTCTAAAGTGCTCTAGGAGTATTCATGATAATGTCTGTCATTGTCAAGGGCATCTTTGCCTCTGAGAGTAGCTCATCCATTTTAAGAGTGGGGATGACATGGCCAGAGGGAGTGCCAACAGGCAGATGGTTGTACAATAATTCTGGGCAGTCAGGATGTTTTCAGCCAGGGTCAGCACTGTGACCTGCAGTGTAGTTGAGTTCCAGTAATTCTCAGAGCAAATAACAGCACTTCAAAGTTTGTCATTTTCTTTGCCTCTGTCTCCCTTTTCCTTAACTCTCATTTATTGTGTTTTTTATATACCTGGCACTATTCTGGAAACTTTTTACAAAACAGAATCATTCTGTTCCCAGGGCATCAATTCCTCTATGAGCAAAGAGTATGGCTTATATAATTAGTTAGCTGTAGGCTTAAACTCTGGTTAGAAATCTGTGCTTCAAAGTGTGGTATAGATGCTGACAGAACCAGATTCTACATCTTTTTTTTTTTTGGTACCAGGGATTGAACCCAGGGGCTCTTAACCACTGAGTTATATCCCCAGCCCTTTTTGAGATAGGCTCTCACTAAGTTGCTGAGGCTGTCTTTGACCTGGCAATCCTTATGCCTTAGCCTCCCAAGTTGCTGTTATTACAGGTGTGCACTACCATGAACAGCTTAGATTCTCCATCTTAATGTAAAACATTCTCTTTATTGGAATTGAGCAGGAGGCTCACAGGCCGTCGTCACTGGAGCATTGACATTGATAATCCTGAGTAGCACATAGTTTGTGATTCTTTATCCTTGACTTTAGCATGTGCATTGTGAGTTGTTCTAAGTTTCACCCTCAATGCTTGATCATAGATAAAGAATACCTGTGACTTGGCGAAGAAGAGTGGTGAAGGAAACTGAGTTTTGAGTTAAACATTTTCTCTAGGAATTATACATATAGAAAATTGAAGTTGACTTTAAAAGATTTAAGTCAAGAATATCTTTTCTTACTTAATTTTTTTTGAGTGTGAAATTTTCTTTTCTAGATGAATCAACAGGAATCATCTATAGAAAGAGGATTGCAATCTGCCAGAATGTGATTCCAGAAATTTTAAGAAAGGTAAATTCTTTACAAAATTTAGTCACAGTAAATGTAACACTGAGTAGCTTTTAACAGTTTTGGAGGGAGATATGAGGCAGAGCCCTGGACCGTCCTACTCCTCCCACCTCATTGCTCCTTGGAGGAGGAAAGCTTTTTCTTATCCACCCTGCTTTTGGCAGATGCTGCTGGAGACTCTTTGTCCCTGTCTCTACTTCTTCTGTGAAGGAATCTTAATGGATATAGAGATGTTCTACGAGTATTAAAGATACTTTTGGCATTTTGCATGAAGTGATATTGTTTTCAGTCTGTATATGGCTAGAAATGACTCAGGTAAACATGATTGGAAGGGGGAAGTTTGTAAATATTTAGTCTGATAGTAAAGAAGTTAAAAGCTTCAGTTTCCTAATTCACTGTCAGAGACGAGTAATTTCTGAGAGTATAATGTTCCTAGTGCCCTATGTAAATCTTTTTGTGTATTTCTGTGCAATAATCTTGTTGATCGTGAAATCTTCATGATAGCAAATTGTTTTCTCTCTTTGAAATCCTTTAAGCACTCTGGTGATTCTTTGTTGGAAAAAGGTGAGTGGAAAATTTTAATCACTTCGCTTGAACCATAGAGAGACTCGTGACAAGAGTCTTTTTACAATTATTAGGAAATAAGAGGAAAGCATTATGATACACACGTCTAAAAATGCCTCAGATGGTTGTTTCAACCTGCAAGAGATTCTATGTGTGATTTAGAACTCAACTCGGCTCCTGCTGATTAGCTTGCAAATTAAATTGCTGCGCCATACGTAGGGAAAACGGCAGCTTCCATCACTTCCCTATCGTGGATTAAAAGACTCTGTCACATTCTTAGTAGAAAGAAAGCTAATATGTCAGTGAAAATGAACTTTCTTTTATTTTCCAGATGGTAAAATGTGTTACCCTGTAGCAGCAAATTATTACTGGCTTTTTCCACAGAGTGCATACCCTGCCTTTGCCCTATACACTCACTTTGAATCTATTATTTAGAAAGGCATTCAACTTTGTCTTGTATCTCAATTCTTAAATAATTTAAGGATACCTCTGACTTGTACAATTCTGCCTTTGTAGTTTTCCATGTCTTCTCCACCTAGGAAAGCATACAGTTCTAGGTATTGGACAGAGTTTAAAATGAAGAAAATATTTTACCAGATAGCACCCTGCATGTGAGCCTGTAAGTGGGCCCGATTAGAATCCATCAATTTAAGAAGGCTATAACCAGCCCTAGAGGAGACACGAAGGAGGCTGATAATTTGCTTAGTGTTTAGCAGTTAGGGAAATTAGGCCAGGCACCATATAGCTGACATAAATCCTGGGCCATTTGCACGTCTTTGCTGGCTCTTGGTAAGGTTGTAGTGTGTTTGATTGCCAGGGGCTCAGCATCGGTGGGCCATCGTCTGTATGTCAGGGGATCTTGTCCTCTTTATTCCCCAAGACTGAAAGCAGCTCTCAATTCCCTGCATAACTTGCACTTCTTAAATTGAGAAAGGCATCCTTCCTCTGTTGGCAGGTGAGCATTTTAAAGGTCCCTAGTATCCAGTTAGAAGAGGAATCGTGGCTCAACCCTCAGGGAAGAAACATGGCTATTCAGAGTCACTGCCTTACGTGGACACAGTATGCATCCATGAAGGAGGAGTCTGTCTTCCGGGAAAGTGTGGAGAATCCAAATTGGTAAGGTCACCTCTGTGTGTGTGTGTGTGTGTGTGTGTGTCTGTGTGTGTATTTTGGGTGCAGGGGTGCACAAATGAGCATGTGTATTAAAAAGCTATGATTCTGTACTTTTGACCTCTGTTTACAACTCCATAAATGCCATATAATTAGTTTCTTGATCACATAAGTAATAAATGAGTAAATATTTCTTTGGAGGAAAAATGGTGGAGCTCAACTCCTCTGACCATCTCTTTCAATTTTGGTGTCTTGTCAACCTCTCCAGAGGCAGTAGAATATTTTAATTTGTATAATATTCTTCTAGACCTTTAGCACTTAAGTATAGGGCACTTATATAATGTAATCATAAAGGCTGAATATATGGTTTTATATATTGCTTTTACATACATGATTTTATACTGTGTAAATTATTTTACAACTTTTTTTTTGCTAAATGGAATGTTTCTGAGCTTTATCCATTTGAGACGTATATGTATGTATATATCTGACGTATTCTTTTGCATAGGATTCAAGCCTATGACTACTCTACATTTTATTTATTTACTTCCTTTGTGATAGACATTAAGATGGTGTCTAGTTTCTCTCTTTTACAAACAAGAACACAATATCTGTGAAGCATATGTCTCTTATAGGTGATCCCTTATACTATATTTGAGCATTGCTCTGTGTAGAATTTTTAAATGTTGCCAGGTTTTTTGAGAAATCATTTACATACAATAAAATTTACTCATAGTTTAGAGTTCTGTAAGTTTTGACAAACATGTATAGTTGTGTTGCTAATCCTACAAATAAGCTGTTGCACATTTAAGATATATATTAATTATATATTACAAGACAGTTCAATAGGAGAAAGAATATTCTCTTTGACATATGGTTCTGGTACAACTGAATATCTATATATGAAAGAATGAAGTTGGACTCCTACCTCACACCAAATATAAAATTAACTCAAAATGGATCAAACAACCTAAATAATAAAAATGCTAAAGCTATAATATACATAGAAGAAAACAGATATAAATTTTTGTGATCTTATATTAGGCAATTTTTTTTAGAAATGACAATAGGAAAATAATGAAAAAGTTAAAGCTATAATATACTTAGAAGAAAACAAATATAAATTTTTGTGATCTTAGATTAGGCAATTTATTTTTTAGATATGACAATAGAAAACTAAGCATCAAAAGAAAAAAACCATAAATTTGACTTTATCAAAATTAAATAAAAACTTTTGAGTTTCAAATGGACACTGTCAAGAAAGTAAAAAGACAATCAGGAGCATGGGAGAAGAAATTGCAAAACATATATCTGATAAGAGTCTAGAATTCATAATATATAGAGGACTACTACAACTCTATAATAAAAGGACAGTCCAATTAAAAAATTGACAAGATATTTGTATAGAGAGTTCTTAAAGAAGATACATAATAGCCAATAACCCCCACAAAATTTGTGGGGATTATTTGGGAAATGCAAATAATAAACCACAGTGAGATACATTTCAGATTTACTAGAGTAGCTATAATTAAAAAGACACATAATAGTTGGGCTGTAATCCCAACTGAGGGATTAATCTACTGTAATTGAGAGGTTGAGGCATGAGGATTGTGAGTTCAAAACCAGCCTTAGTAATTTATCAAAGCCCTAAACAACTCAGCAAGACCCTGTCTCAAAATAAAAAACAAAAACAAAAACAGAAAAACAAAAAGGGCTGGGAGAGCTGGGTGTGGTGGTGCATGCCTATAATCCCAGTGGCTCAGGAGGCCCAGAAGGCAGGAGGATTGCAAGTTCAAAGCCAGCCTCAGCAAAAGTGAGGCGCTAAGCAACTCAGTGAGACCTCGTCTCTAAATAAAATATAAAATAGGGCTGAGGCTGTAGCTCAGTGGCAGAGCACTTGTCTAGCATGCATGAGGCACTGGGTTTGATCCTCAGCACCACAAAAAAATGAACAAATAAAATAAAGGCATTCTGTCCATCTACAACTACAAAAAAAAAATTAAAAAAAAATACAAAATAGGGCTGGGGATGTGGCTCGGTGGTCGAGTGCCCCTGAGTTCAATCCCCAGTACAAAAAAACAAAACAAAACAAAACAAAAAAACCCCAATAACAATAACAAGCATTGGGATGGATATGGGGAAACTGAAACTTTTATACATTACTGGCAGGATGTAGAATTGTGAAACCACTATGGAAAACAGGGTTTTAATGTCTCAAAAAGTTAAATATAGAGTTACCATTTGGCCCAGAAATTTTACTCCTATATGTATATTCTGAGAAATGAAAACAAATCTCCACACAAAAACTTGTACAAACATTCATAGCAGCATTATTCATTATCCAGAATATGGAAACAGGCCAAATGTCTAGCAGCTGATGGATAATTAACTAAACATAATATACTCATAATGGAATAAAAAGGAATGCTTATTTATGTTACAATGTGGAAAACCTTTAAGGATATTGTGCTAAGTGAAAGAAGCCAGTTAAAAAGGCCACATATCATGTGGATCATCCATGTATTTGAAATGTCCAGAAAAGGTAAATCCATAGAGTTAGAAAGTAGGTTAGTGATGGCCACTGGCTAGTGAGAGAGGAGAACAGGGAATAACTGCTAATGAGTATGGAGTTTTTTTTTTTTGAGGGGAATACAAAAAATGTTCTGGAATTAGTGTTGATGACTTCCCAACTTTGTGAATATATTGAATTTCACTAAATTGTACACCTTAAAAAGCTGTATCTTAGCCAGGTGTGGTGGTGCATGCCTGTAATCCCAGTGTCTGGGGAGGCCGAGACAGGAGGATTGTGAATTCAAAGCCAGCCTCAGCAACTTAGGTAGGCCATAAGCAATTTAGTGAGACCCTCCCTATCTCTAAATAAAATATTAAAAGGGCTGGAGATGTGGCTCAGAGGTTGAGCACCCCTGGGTTCAATCCCCAAAACAAAACCAAAAACAAAACAAAACAAAACTAAAAACTGTGAATCTTATGGTCTATAAATTATATCTTAATATGAGAAAAATTTATAGGGCTTATTCTCAGGACGTGAGTGTTTATGTTTCTATGATAAGAATTCTGTAGACTGGGTGATGTGAACAACACACACCAATTTCTCACTGTTCTGGAGCTTAGGAAGTCTAAGATGTAGGCACCTACAGATCTAGTGTCTGGTAAGAGCCCTTCCTGGTTTGCAGATAACTGTCATCTGTCATTTCCACACATGGTAGAGAAAACAAGCTCTTTCTATTTTTATAAGGACACTAATCCCATGATTGGGACTCCTTCCTTATCACTTTTTATAGATTTAATTATCTCCCAAAAGCTCTATCTATCTCCTAATACCATCACATTGTGGGTTAAGGTTTCCCAAAAAGAATTCTTGACAGGTGTGTGTGTGTGTGTGTGTGTGTGACATAGACATATAGTCCATAACATACAGATTGTGTCACATTGTCTTCCAGTGTGTTAATAAGACACTAATTTGCACTTATTAACAGCACATAAGAATTTTCATTTTGCTATAAAATACCCAGCACCTAAATTTTTGCCAATATAAATGGTAAGAAATAATTAATTCCTTGGAAATCAGTTTAAAAACAAAAGTAAAATGTCACAAGCAATAAATTTTAATAATTATTGCTGTGAATTATGATTTCAGGAGATAACTTACTGTGTTTTTGTTATTCTGTATGGTTTGATTTTTTTTTTTTTGTTATGCACCTTTTCATGGAAAGAGTATAGCCCTCAAGCCCAAATTTATAACTAAAATGCCCAAATCTAAAATCCATTCTTACAAGTCCAGCACTTTTCCAAATCATTACTGCTCCCATAGCTTTTAGACATAGAATGATAATTCTAGGATATTCCAGCAGCCCACTGGATGAATGAGAATGTCAGGTCTTATTAGCGTCACAGGTGGATTTGCTCTGAAATACCCCTGGTTTTTATTTCTTAGTTTCTCTCATGGCAAGAGCTCACATAGGACATAGATGGTTGGGATTTAGTGTAAAGGCTGTAACAGAGAATAGAACTCTTTTCTCAGTTTGTAGAAATTGTAAAAGAATGGAGTTGTTTGATTTTATGCAAAAAAAGTCTTCCATTTCATCCATTCTATTTTAGCCTTGATTTTTGCAGGCATTTGGGCTATTGGCTAGTCTTAAAAGCTGAACTGAACCTTTATTCACTAGAGTAAAATGGTAATTATTCCTGAGAATCCATTAAAAGCATCTTTTAGGAACTTTTTCCTCTCTCTGTGTGTGTGTGTGTGTGTGTGTGTGTGTGTATATCTTTGTGTGTGCACACTTACGTTTAATTTTATTTGAGACAGAGTTTCACTAAGTTGCCCAGGCTGGCCTTGAACTTGTTTCCTTTCTAAACCTTCCCAGTAACTAGGATCACAGGCATGTACCACTGTGCCAGGTTCTTTGTGTGTGTATGATTAAATATTTAAAATAGTCATTCTAATTTTGGAAAAAATGATAGAAAATATTGACCAATTCTGGGAACAAAAAGAAAAAAACAATACTCTTTACCTAGAGTTAGTTATCTGTTTATATAATTTTCTTGGTCCATTCCTAATTGACACTTAAGCTTTTTGTAAATGAATTTTTTTAGATATCACAAACAGTGCTGTAATGAAAATCTCCAGAGTCTGTAGTTTTTACACTTAATCACCTTTTAAGGTAGATTGAGCAAAATGGAGTTTCCAGGTCAAGGTTATGTGCATTTTTTATTTTGGTACTTATGGTCTGACCTATAAAAAGTTTTGATCAATTAACACCTTTTTTCTTTCGTCTATTATGACCTGATCCACTCCAAAACACTATATTTTATACCATCCACATAGAAGACTCATACTTATCCACACCTAGTATGACATCAAGGTCTAAGCTAGATCCTTCATGTGTAGCTTTTGAGGCTTAGTTTAAATAACTTGGTCAAGGTGATACAGTTAGTAAACCTGAGGCAAGATGTGAATCCAGGTACAGAGTTCACCTCAAGTGAAG